CATCAACAAACTAGATAGGGTAACTTATAATTTTTCCATTCTATATATATGCTCTAAACAAAGAACCAAATTTGTTTATAGTATTTTAATATTTTTTATAACTTTTATTCCACACACACGTTACTAGTATCGTTGAAAATTTGGAACAAGCCAACCAAATAAAATCTCATGCCATACGCTAATATTAGTATAGAGTATTAGTGAAAGATATGGATGAACTGCAAAGGGTCTAACTAGCACGTACATTATTAATTATTATTATGGGCGATTTGGGTCCATACCTACGAGATGTGGCCTGCTATGACGATTTCATTAATTAAGTTAGGTAATGACCACACAATAATTTCATAAGAAGGGTCCTATTCCTAACATTATTAAGCCATGACAAATAGCCACCATGGCCGAAGGCTAATCTAGTGAACCCACAAGTTGCTTCGGCACACGAATATTTTATATAATAAATGCAACAATTTAGAGGGGGCAAATTAATTAAGGAGAGAAAATGCCAATGCCCAATGGCGCAGTATCGTTGTCAAAGCTAAGGCGATCCCAGTATCATAATCACAGCTATGATCACCTTCGAGCCAATTAACTAATTATAAATTAATTAGGGTGTACATTACATGCCATCAATTCAAGCCTCGTCGTCCCTGCTTACCCTAATATTAATTTAACATGCCGACAGCGACAATATAATCACAATTATACAGGCATAGTTGTTGAATTTATAGATCGCTAGGTGGTTGGAGGAGAAAGGGACAATTTTTCCTCACACGAATTTTTGTCCCTCCTAGACCCTAACCTTGCATTCAATTAGATCCTACACCACTAAAGCTCATCGGTGTTGATTGTTGAATGAGTTGTATAAGATCCATTATTCAACCTCCACCATCAATTCGAGTTATTGTGATGGATTGTTTCTTGACATGGTATTAGAGCCTTTTATAGCCGAGATGTCTTATGTTCGAATCCCGATAACCCTCTTTATTGAAGCACATGGTATTATTGTATTCAGACTTGTGCAAACGAAAGCTCTTATGAGTTAACCGGCTTTTCGTTTGAGAGTGTGTGTTAATGAGTGGTATAAGATCAATTATCGAACCTCCTCCAACAACTCGAGTTATTGAGATCAACTTGTTCTTGACATTAAGAACTTAAGATACATTAACGTGCTAATGATCATTTGAGTTGTGCATTATGTAATTTACGGTTGTTTAAGCGTGCAATATTGTTAGGATGGATATAAAGGGTTTAAAGTTTCTATAAAAAATCTAAAGGGAATCCTATTTTGGGTATATAAGATTTCACATGAAATTTTTTTCTCTTCGTTATAGTTTATCGTATATTTCTCAAGAGACGGGTACATAGAATTTCAGAGCAAACATAATTGAGACAGAGATTAAAAATTGAGTATGGAATATCGAGCGCGAATGAGATTAGGAAACCTCAGCCCTAAACTAACAAGATCCTAGCTAGCAATATATATATGCATGCATGTTGTAAGAGAAAACTTCAATCCACTTGTAGCACAAACTAAAGGAGACTTTTAGAGGAGAAAAGCTTTAATGACATGCAAGGTTGATGATCATCCCCAAATCATGCATAAGGAATGTTACCTACAGGGACTGTCTAAGAAAAATCAGGTTTTTAAAAGTGAAAGTATTGCATTGGCAAGGATCTCTAGCAAATTGTAACATAATTGTTGCTTTAGGCTGCGTAAGGATATCCTGATATTGTTGGATTCAAATTTTTGTGTGTTTTTGTATTCCTTCTCGAGGTCCTAACTTCGTTGACCTCAGGGTGATATGGAAAATAGAAGTCTAATTTCAAAATTCTTAAGAACGAAAAAAACGGTAATCTCTAAATATTTGATAAGAAGTACAAAACAAATTTCGTTTAAAGTTTACTAGTATTACCGAGAAAGAAAAAAAAAAAATACAAACATCCAGTCCAGAGGCGGCCGTGAGGGTGTGCTGGGAGGCCCTCTGACACAGGACCTCCGAATATTAGGGGGCCTCCAGTACTTAGGTCTACTAGCCAATTTGATCGTATACTGTAAGCTTTATTTATGGTGTGTTGGTATATGATTAATTGATTATGAATTTGATAACGATTTTAACTATGTCATTTATATTAGTGCTAATTATTGATCATTATTTTCATGTATGCATATACACGTTGCACTTATAATGATTGTTAAAGTCGTGTTTGAAAGCAAAAAACCTTGTTTGTTTACAAAAATTATATAAGAAAGTCTTAATCAATTAGTTATAGCAACGACCGAAAATGATATCGTAGAGACTACAAAAACTAGAGAGCTAATAGATTATTTTATTTTAAATAATAGCAAAGCGATCATATTTTTAAATAACTATGTTATGTTCATTTTCATTTTACTGTACTTAAAAATTAATTTGAACAATATCTCAATTATATATATGAAACATAGCCTTCACGATTCATTAGCCGACCCAATCCATCCCAACTAAGAATCCCATTCTCCAAAGAATCCCTCTGTTTATTTGGCTGGTAGGTTTCCATTGCGTGCTTACTTACTCAACGGGTACTATTTTAATTAACAGAACTGACGAGACAGGCCAAACAAAAGGTACAGATCAACTAACCAAGATCTCTACCTTCCATAACTAATCACATATGCAACCAAATTTGATTACGCTTTAGACGTGGGTTTTCTGACTGTGATTAATTTACTAGCATCGATCGCACCTCCATGACCTATATTGGAAGGGGAAGGAAGTGTTTATCCAACTACTACTGGCCGGAGAAGAAGCCAAGCGGTGTAGCTAAACAACCACCCTCTTAACTTTGCTAGAGATATATGTCTCGAGAAGCAACTATTTTTCTTTTAAGTTATATTTTTACTATGTTTCACGGAAAATTGAATTCTCTCATATACATGAAATCGGTGTATAATATTTGAAACTTTCACTCATTTCTTTGAGAGAAAATGCCAAACTTAGCAACTAGCAATATTTCGGTGTCAAGTGTGTGGCATATTGATGAAACTTTCGAACATTTTAAAAAAGTTGAAAGATCTTACATACTAACTAACTAGTCATCCATATTCAGTGTACGGCTGAGTATTTCAGTAGGTTTTTTATGGTTGTATATTTTAGTAATTTTGATCGAATGGAATTGTAACATCCCGAACATTTTCCCGACAAGATAATGTCCGTTTTTTGCCTCTATACCTACACGTATTTCGACTTGGGGTGCAATTCAGAGTGACTTCCCATAAAGTCACTCATCCTTGTTGTACTCCACACTGAGCACGTTTAACTTCGGAGTTCTCACAAGAACTCCTTCATTTCACCCCAAAACGCGTCTTGTCAGTTAGGACCGATTTCCTACTTATGAACCATGGATCTCTCCCGTGCTTTGTCGATGTGGGATTTGCCTAAGGTGTTACATACACCCACACACCCCCCCCCCCCCCCCGGGAACTCAACGTCCCCGTTGAGGTTTGCCCCATCATCGTTCAAGAGGGACGCAGAGAGGCTCTGATACCACTTGTAACATCCCGAACCTTTTCCCGAGCAAGATATTGTCTGCTTTGGGCCTCCACCCTCACGATTTTCGATTTGGGGTGCAATTCAAGGTGACTTTCCATAAGGTCATCCATTCTTGTTGTACTTCACACTGAGCACATTTAACTTCGGAGTTCTCACAAGAACTCCAACATTTCACCGCAAAACGCGTCTTGTCAGTTAATATGTCTGTTTCCTACTTATGAACCATGGATCTCTCCCGTACTTTGTCGATGTAGGATTTGCTTAAGGTGTTACAGGAATGATGGGAAGAGGTTTACTTTTTTGTTGTAGACCAGGAAAAATGAAATCTCATGTAAAAAAAAACAGGGATAAATGACATGTAGATGTATTGATGTAGAGACTAGTCTCTAGAGTGTTATATTTGGAGAAAGGGTAGGCCTAGAATTGGAACTGTAAACCTTAACTATGGTCTTTGATCTAGGCAATGCCATATCCTCAACCGGGCCTAGAGCCCAGAGTTTGGGCCGGGTGACCAACACTGAGGGCTGAGGTAGAGTAGACTGAAGACGTGCCCAATATCATACTTTAATCAGCCTAACCAAATTAACCAACCAATGTATTCGATCCTGAGATATGGAGATGTTGGTGTCCAGGACAAGGATCACGATAGCCCTGATTCCCCATTTCCAGAATCCAGATTACATTCTTATTAACAGCTGGCTTATCAGTTAGTCCCCCTAATCAGATCCGTTAATTAGCCAAAAACACCAGCTGAAGCTTTGACCAGAAGGTCCTCTAATTTCAAAGACTTTCTGAACCATCAATCTATGTTTGGGGAAGTGCAAGGACATTATATAAGGCTTGAGTTAATATCTTTTACACTGTGTTGCTCATTAGATTTCGTTTCTCTCACTTACCTCAAATTCAATTAATTAAGCACAAGATATGACGATCAGGTTGATAAACTTCAAACCATTATCGACTTGACTATACGAGGGAGCGTAATTAATTCCACTACACAAGATAGAGATAAGACGGAATATGTTTGAGGACCTCACAGAGAAGACAATGACCTTAAAGGAATGTGGAATCGGATTGTACAGAGAGCTAACTGTTTAGTGTCAACTGAGAACTCCATTAAAACCCTCTACTTGTTCCAGACTCAATTACATGGGATCTTTTCTATTCTCAGAGATTCGGTTTAGCCTAATTTCTCCAGTAATATGCAAAAACAAATGAAGCTTTCTCAATTTCATGGCAGAAACTCATCCTTCCACATCTCAAACAGTCAGATCCAAACTATGCAGCTGAAAATAACTAAGCAAACGACAGAGCAAAAATTACATGAAAGCAGCAGCAGCAGCAGAAGTCAGCTAGTGAGTTGGGTCATATTTGCTTCTCCTAAGATGGATTATTACATTAGCAAATGGATTGAACCCACTTTTCACCATCTTCTCGAGCGGCCAGAAGAGCGGCGATCTTCTCGAGCGGCCAGAAGAGCGGCGAAGGGAGGTCGTTCCAGTCGTACCAATCCCAGCCGTGACACTTATCCAGCTCCAGATTGCTCGGAACTTGGATTCGGATCATCCAGCTGGGCGCGGAGGAAAACGGTGACGTAGTGAGAGGGTTTGGGGGATTCGACGAACACGTTGTTTGTGACCGTCAGAAACTCTGTTTTCTGGACCTCCAGCCCTGTTTCATCCTTCAGTTCTCTAATGGCGCACTCTTCGAAACCCTCCCCTGGGCTTTCCATAATAGGAAGGCGTCTGATTACTATTGATTGATTGCTTCCATTACTTGAGAGAGAGAGAGAGAGAGAGAGAGAGAGTTGGGACTTACCGAATTCGAGGTTGCCGCCGGGGAGAGCGAAGGTGGAATCTCCGATCTCCGATCGGCGGCGTCCCAAGAGAACCGATGACTTGCCTTTTAGCAGGAAAAGTACCACGGCGACTCTGGGAGCGGGCGCCGGCTCCACTTGCGTTGCTGCCCTGTCTTTCTCCGTTACTTTCTTCTCCTCTCGGATATCTTTGCCTTTTGCAGTGTGTATTCTCTCCCAAAACGTTTGGCTTGAAGAGACGTCGTTTTGCATTGTTTGGCTCCCGCGTGTGGGTCCTAGTTATGCAACCGTCTTCCCGCCACGCTTTTTGCGGGAATCAATAAGACCATCCCCAATGGTGCAAATGAGGTGAATTGCAAGCCTACGTGGCAGAGGGATGAAAATGAGAAAGTGGTTTGCATTGATGTGGCATCATTTGCAAATGGTGCAAATTTGCACACCATGCAAATTGGTATGCAATTACAACAGGGCCCCTCCAATTTGTCTTTTCTTTCTTTTCCCTTCTTTCTTGTTCAATTGTTTTTTTCTTTTTTGCTTCCACCACCAATTATATGTTGTATATATATTTCTTTCTATCCTTCATATCACATACACACATATGTATATGTATATAGTTGATGGTAACGATGATCATTTTTGTATAAATAAAACAATACTACAAACAAACCTTAAAGATTCATATATATTTTAAAGTATTACATCCGCAAAGTACAAATTGAAAAGAAAACACACTAAACACGTTAAGACAACTAATTAATACATAAAATGTTTTATATAATTAGTAACATTAAATTTATAATTATATTTATTTACTTTAATTGATATTAGTTATAGGAAGTTGCTAATTTAAGTTGAAAGGATATTATAATATATTAGTAAAATGGTGGAGATAATATGAATATTGATTTGTATTAAAAAGTAAGTAGGGCCCACAATTGCAATTGCAAGTGGATGGTATTGATGTAGGTTATATGAAAATGAAGACTGAGATAATTGTTAAAGTTGATGATGTGGTAGTAGGGACCACACTTGAAATTGCATGTAGATGGCACCATTGGAGATGCTCTAACCTGTTTTACCTTTTTTGGTACCCATATTTCTAAAGTAATATTTTATTCGCAGTTGGGCTCAAAGTAAGAGAACTAGGACTTGGTCAGGATGAGCTGAGCCCACCAAACTGTAATGGTTTTTTTTTGGGTAATGTCTATTTTTTATCAAAACCTTTTTCAGATTCTTTTATTTTAACCAAACCTATTGAATTCCTAAAAATTATCCAAACGTTAACTCTCCGTCAACTTTTCTGCTAGTAATGCTGACTAAGTATGACCATAATGAGTTGACTTCCTAAGTGGTGGTCAGAATACCATCATTTACTATTTTTAATAAAAAGATTATCAAAAAACAAAACAAAATCCCACCTCTCACGTGGACGAAATAAGTAACGGTAAGAGAATGAATGCCCAGACTTTGATAAATTATAATACGTTTGGATAATAAATAGAATTTCTATAGGTTTGATTAAAATAAAAGAATTTGAAAATTTTTTTGGTAAAAAATAGACATTGCCTTTTTTTTTTATCTGAAACATTGTGAGTCCAACAAAGCCCATTGGTCTCGTGGCTATTTAAGACTATATAATTTCGCTCGAGTAAGATTTCTACCAAAAAAAAAACTAATGGGGTAGATGAGACAAATTTGAAAAACCATCGCAACACTTCTCTCGCATAAAACAAATTGCAAATGGTCTTTGTATAATAGAGGCGTATTTCTATGGGCCAAATCCACGTCCTTAATATTATTTCTTATATTTGCTTTGACACAAACAAGTTGATTTGGCAATCGATCTGTCACATGATGCTCCCTGATACGGTTGTTAATTAAAAAAAAGTTGAGCAATTACCTAACTTTCTCGGAAAAGTTAGAATAGTAAAACCAACTCAACAAAATTAAATTAAAAAATCCGGAATTACCTGGGAGCCTCACTAAAATAAATATAAAAATAAAAAGTTGGGTCTCCTACTACCACGAGACTCCCTCCGCCTAAATTAACACCACTCAGCTTTCTCGTCTTCACCGACACGTGTCACGGATCCCCTCGCCTTTCCGACGGTAAAAAGCAATCAGCTCTCCTCCTGGGTCCCACTTTTACTAACAGAAAAATTTGTTCCCCCAAACAAAAACGTCCTCCTTCCTTCTTCTCTCTTCCGGTCTTCCCCATCCTCCTCCATTAAACCAATCAAGTTCAACCAATCTCTCCACACAACGCCTCCCACTCACTCTCTTATTTCCACTCTCAGTAGAAAACTTGCCAGAAAGGAAACAAAAATCGGAAGAAAATCTCTCTTCTCATCCTCCTCCTCCTCCTCCTTGTTTCGTTCGCCGTTCCTCTGATCTCTTGATTGCTGTAAACGCAGAGACCTTCCTATTTCTGTTTTGATTGTTTCTTTTCGTTTCTGCTTCGTAACCATGACGGACACCACGGACGATATCGCGGAAGAAATGTCGTTCCAGAGCTTCGACGACGACTGCAAGCTTCTCGGAAATCTGTTCAACGACGTGCTGCAGAGGGAAGTTGACAGCACGCTCATGAAGAAGCTCGAAAAGATTCGAATCGTCGCTCAGGTTTTTTTCTTATTGCCTCTTCGTTTCTTCTGATGATTTCGTTTCGTCGCTTACTCATGCTGCGATGATTGTCTATGGATTCGGTTTCCCTTTCCGGATACTAGGATTCCGTTTCTCAGGTTTAGCGTCGTTGATTGTTCTTTCGGTTTCATTTGATTTTTCAAGTTTTCTGGTTTTGCATGGTATACCGTTTGGTTGCTGAGAAAATCGGATCGGGGAAGAGAAACGATTTCGAGTATTTTATACGTCTAATCATCTAGGCGCCGTTTCGATCCTCCTGCCTTTCATATGTTTCACGCTGGAAACGAGTCGAATGCCTTAACGATTTCATGAGCTTGTTTGTTCGATCTGCATAGCAAAATTAGTGATTAGTCAATTTTTTAGAGGTAGAACCAATCATTTGCTGATGAGGTTGATTATCTGTTAATTTCCTTAGTAATTGAAATCTCCAATGATATTTGATCTGGTTACAGAGTGCTTGTAATATGAGGTTGGCGGAGATAGAGGACTCGGCAGAGATGCTGGAGAAACAAGTGGCTGCGGAGATGTCACAGTTGACATTAGAGGAGGCCTTGACTCTGGCTCGTGCAATTAGCCATTACCTTAACCTGATGGGAATTGCCGAGACACATCACAGGTAATAATCAGCTTTGTTTTAATTAAACAGCCTGACTTGTTACCCGTCAATCTGTGCTCAGAACTCATCACTTTGTTTGGATTAATTTGTTTCGCTACAGGGTCCGCCGGTTAAGAAGTGCTACTCACTTAACCAGATCTTGCGACGATGTGTTCACTCAGCTTTTGCAGAGTGGAGTTTCTGCAGATCAACTGTATCATACCGTGTGTAAGCAGGTATGGTGGTACATTTTGTAGTGTAGACCACAAGTAAAAACTTCATTCTCCAAGTTTTGAACTGAACTCAGTAAGAGATCACACCAAGTATCATGAATAGTGTCTAGGAGGTGATCTAAAGACCATAAGAGGAGCATGGAGTTCCATGTTAACAAGGTTAGAGATTTGTTCTTATCTTGTCATATAACTATTATTTCAGGAGGTAGAAATCGTTCTTACTGCACATCCTACTCAAATTAACCGGCGTACATTGCAGTATAAGCACGTCAGAATTTCTGTGAGTATATTGACGCCTCTGGAGTAGATAGATTCTACATAGCTATACTTTTTTGTGTTTGTAACTTCATGCTAACTTCACCTTCCTTTCAGCATCTTTTAGATTATAATGATCGAACTGATCTTACTCATGAAGATCGAGAAATGCTCATAGAAGACCTGGTATGGTTCTGAAAGCGTCAACGTTTCCTCTGCTTTCTGCTCCAAGTTTCTCTTCGCAGGGAAAGAATAGCATAATTACTTAAAGTTCGAAGTCCTAGTTCTATCTTGTTTTCTCAGAGATTGTTGTTCGCCCTTCTTTTTGCAGGTCAGAGAGATCACCTCAATTTGGCAGACAGATGAGCTCAGGCGTCATAAACCAACACCAGTGGATGAGGCCAGGGCTGGTAAACCATTAATGCCTTATGGAAACCATGGACTCTTTCTTTTTCTCCAGCATTTTATATTCTTTTCTGCAAGAAAAGGAATGTTGATATGTCATGAATTCAATAGTAGAGGCTTGGCAGATGTACCGCCAATGTGCCACGAGCAAATGTGTTCTTTGATTCTGGGCAACAGTTTTTCGTAGAGAACTTAATTCTGTTATTTTCAAATATACTCAGGATTGAATATTGTTGAGCAATCCCTTTGGAAAGCTGTACCTCACTATTTACGTCGAGTCAGCAATTCCCTAAAAAAGGTTCCCTTTAATTGCCCCTTATATTAGCATGTTACTCAAACCTTGCTACTGTTAACTCATTTTCATATCTCATCTCTCTTCCTTAGCACACAGGAATGCCACTACCGTTGACAGCCACACCAATAAAATTTGGTTCTTGGATGGGGGGTGATAGAGATGGAAATCCTAATGTGACAGCTAAGGTATGTTTGGACACTCTTGGTTTTAGGTATATAGTTTTTGGATTGCAAGAGGCTAAACTCAGGAAGAACTGAAATTCCCCATTTGATTTCAATTTTAATTCCTTCAAGATATGAATGGAGTTAAATGATATAAAATACACGTGGAGTCTACATTATGGATCTGGTTTGGAGGTGGGTGGCCCTACCAAACCAGCCCTTAGCTTCTAAGGTCGACCTAATATATATCAATCTTTGTTATATTTCAGGTCACAAGAGATGTATCTTTATTATCTAGATGGATGGCTATTGACCTTTATATTCGGGAAGTTGACAGTCTCAGATTTGAACTATCTATGACTCGGTGCAGTGACAGGCTGTTGAAAGAGGCACAGGATATTCTGAAAGCAGGTTTGAGTTTTTGGATTGTTTAAGTTGTTTCAACTACAAGAAAACTGCAAACCTGAGCTGCCTAGATATGTAATGGAACATGTCTTACTCATCATGTCATGTTCTTTGTTACTGGTTGCAGTTCATACTAATCAATCTACATTCATACTAATCAATCTCTTTCTAGTGCTAGTTTTAGCTATATTTTTTGTGCATTGGAATACTGTCATAAGCCCCGCAGAGATAAGTTTTGAGTGCAAATGCGGACGAGTTAGTAGGCGGACTACCAGCTGCACCCAAATTGTAGTTATGAGGATATTGTCCTGTTTTGTTACCATGAAATGGTACAGTGATTACTATAAGCCAGAACTCTATATGCCTGCATGAGGGAATGTAGTTTCAGCGCTGTATTTCTGCAGGAATATCATAGCCGAATGAACTTCATAGATGCGATATTTGAATCTTAGTTATCTAGTAATTTATATCTAATTGGTGCTTGGATGAGCTTGTAGTCTTTTGTTGGAGGTGGTTTAGTGTAAATATTGCGTGTGCTAGCTTAACCCCAATATATTTTGGTATATGCTAAACTTTGTGTGTTTTGGTCCTGCTATAACTCCTGTCAGTAAGCTATGCTGAATTGTAAATGTTCATCACAGAAAATTCTTTGGAGGACAGGCATGATAGTCAAGGAACCAGAAGTCAGCTCAAGTTTAGTAGCCAACAGTCTCGATCTGTTCCAATGCAGCTACCTGCTAGTCCTGACCTACCTGCCTGTGCTGGTAAAAAGAATTGACAATCCTTAACTTGAATATTGGTTAACTGCAATTGTAATGTTTCTGTCCTGTGCTTACATGTTTAGACAATCCGGATTCACCTTCTAAGATATACCTACTTTTTAAAGTTTGTGCGGCTATTATGCTACCTGTTAAGTGTTATCTAGATTAGTCAACAAGCCTTTTCATCTGCTATACGAATTCTTCTTTAACCAGTTGTTCTGTGTAGATCGCGATAATGATGGATCTCGATATCCCAAACTGGAACTTCCAGGGACAGATTACATGCGTCAGGTGCTCTATGTCCTCAGTAATTGAAATCTTGCAGCTATGGCACTAATTTTCTCCTATAAATGTAGCATTTAGTAATACACTGTTCTGCTCATTACAGGGAAATCGTGGCCCATCAATCCCAATATCTCCAGCTAGCCATCGCAGCACACAGAATGGAAACGCATCTGCTTCCAATGCGTCTCCATCTTCTGGGATGCAAAGGGTTCCTTCTTTCTCGTCTGTTCAACTCACTGCTCAGAGGAAAAAATTTGCAGAGTCTATGATAGGAAGGTCGAGCTTCCATAAACTTCTTGAGCCAACTCCTGTGCAACCTGCAATTGCTCCTTACAGGATTGTTCTTGGTAATGTAAAAGACAAGGTATTTCAGCTACTTACTCATCAATATATGTTCCCCATATATTGAGATCAGAAGTCCTATCCTCTCATGTAGGTCATAGATTATAGTTCTGGTTGTTAATACAAATGCAAAACGAACTGTATTGTTAGCAAGTGCCAAGTAGGGAGGCTGTTTCAATGCATGCCAAAAGGGATATGTACTACTTTATGGATGCTAGGGTTTACTGTTAGCTTCTAGGGTCTATTTTCTTGGATTTTTGGTAATGAATGCTCTGGCTGTAAAGTGAATTTCCAATTTTCTTTTGTGGTTTATATGTCAGCATGTCTGGTTCATTCCTATACTTAGGACTCCTTTTATGAAACGTTGAAAGTTCCATTTTGTTACTGCATAAGCCTTGGTGGAAAGGAGATTACTTTAACATGAGATGCCAAGGTACTAAATAGAAGAATCTGAAGGAAGGATCAACTATAATATGGAAAGCCACTTAATAGAAAGACTGAACATGCAAATTGAAGACTTTGAAATTATAGATATGATTGGGCTCAAGATCTAGTAATGTGAGGGGGTAATGGGACCATGTGTCCAAGATTTTAGTAGTTGATGCTGAGGTAACTAGCATTTTGGGAAATTATGGAGACAATAATGGAACCATGTGATTATGCTTAACACTCATGTATGATTCTCGAGGGAAGAGACTACCTAATATATCATATACTGTTTTCCTGTGCTCCATTAAAAAAATTTGGTCTATTCCATTGTCTGTTCTTGATCAGTATCACAATTGCATGATAGATGGCGTTATCCTATTATGTTCTTTAACTGAGATAGATATCTATGCTTTCTTTCCCTGTGATTCAGCTTCTGAAGACAAGAAGACGGTTGGAACTACTTCTTGAAGATATCCCATGCGAAACCGATCCTTGGGATCACTTTGAAACTGCCGATCAACTGTTGGAGCCTCTGCTTTTATGCTACGACTCTCTGGTAATATGCAACTCGCAGTTGTGAAAACACATCAGGGGTATAGGAAGAAGTAAATACGAGATTACAGTTAAGATTTATGTGCACTAAAATTTCTTTTACAGCAATCATGCGGGTCTGGGTTTCTAGCTGATGGTCGTCTGGCTGACCTGATACGTAGAGTTTCCACCTTTGGCATGGTGTTGATCAAGCTAGACTTACGACAGGTGTGCCTTGATTGACAAGTGGTTGAAATAGTTCCCTCTTATGGTTTGTTACTGACTGAAGTTACTGCAATGTAACAGGAATCTGGTAGACATGCTGAGGCTTTGGATGCAATCACTAAATTTCTGGATATAGGCACGTATAGTGAGTGGGACGAGGAAAAGAAGCTGGAGTTCTTAACAAGGGAACTGAAGGGAAAGAGGCCATTAATTCCTTCTAGTATTGAGGTAAACTCTTTACATCTCTCTTTGATTTCTCTCTATCACCTACCTGGCCGGACATGGACCATAACATGGAATAGTTATCAGAGGATCACATTGATATTGACTTCTTTGGATAAAGCATAGGAGGATTTTGGTCATGATAAACTTGTTACAAACATTGAGCATTTTGTTAGATACATTATGGTGAAAATGGAATAGGTGGCGCTTACTAACAGCGTTCATTACAAGTTGTGCAGATTGATCTTCTCTGGAAGTGGCTAGTACAGTTTAACGTTTTTATGGCCAAGTTCATTGTATCATAGGGTCATGCATTAGGTCATCTAAGAAGGGGAGGGCTTGAATCCAAATATCCTTTAGTATATGAGATACTTCCACATGAACTACCGCGTCTAGAGAGTACTTTGTTTATTGTTTTCCAGGCTAGGATGGAGTAGTCAATGCTCATATTCTGTGAATAACCAAACATTTCGCCTCCGCAGGTTCCACCCGAGGTGAAAGAAGTATTGGATACCTTCCGTGTGGCTGCTGAGCTTGGCAGTGACTCTCTTGGAGCTTATGTGATTTCTATGGCATCCAATGTAATGACTCAAACCAAAGCTAGGGCTTGGAATTCTGAATCAGGAACGAAATAGTAGTTCCTTCTTAGTTATCAAAAGAACGCCTTACTATCTGTTATTGAATGTTGAAAAAGCTAAAATACTAGCAATCTGTTTCTTGGCAGGCAAGTGATGTTCTTGCAGTGGAGCTTCTTCAAAAAGATGCCCGTCTTTCTGTTAGTGGAGAGTTAGGGAGACCATGTCCTGGTGGAACGTAAGTCAGCCTTTTGTTTTCTCTTGTTGCTTTCTTAGCTTGGACTGGCCTTGGTTTCTTGAACATGTCCTTTTTCGAAGAAGACCAAACATGAAGCTTCCATGTCGTGCCTCTGAGTCAACTTTAGACTCTGGCTTTAGCCTCTTCATATATATGAAGGTTGTTTCTCATGTCATCTGTGTTTACTATTCTGTAGGCTCCGGGTTGCTCCACTGTTTGAAACTGTGAAGGATCTGAGAGAGGCTGGTTCAGTAATCAGAAAACTGTTGTCGATCGATTGGTACAAGGAGCACGTCATCAAGAATCATAACGGCCATCAGGAGGTAATTCATTTATCCAAACTGAATCTGGTTAATGCTCCTGCTGAAACCTCATTTTGGAACTCTGACTAACCTGAAACAAACTAGGTGATGGTTGGATATTCGGACTCTGGCAAAGACGCAGGCCGCTTCACTGCTGCTTGGGAGCTTTACAAAGCCCAAGAGGATGTTGTGTCTGCATGCAACGAGTTTGGCATTAAAGTAACTCTCTTCCATGGCCGTGGAGGAAGCGTCGGTCGTGGTGGCGGACCCACATATCTCGCCATTCAATCCCAACCTCCAGGCTCAGTAATGGTGAGTTATAAACCTGTGCACTGGACTGGTAGAATAGAAGTTATGATTCATTTCTGGATGATCCTATAAATCTCTTAAAAGTTTAGGTGCTAATGAGTTAGGTAGAAAATTGTAGGCATTAGAGTGTGATATCATAGCTCAATGCTTTTTTGAAGATACGAAGTTTAAGCTACTAAATTTTTAACTATAAAATTCTTGGGTACTAAATAGTAACTTCCAAGAAATCCGTTAACCCGCCAAACTGCCAATCCCCGTTGGATTTGAATTTAGGGGATATTTTCAGGATATATCCCAATACTGCAATTTTCCGTTGATTTCTTCTGGATCTCCAGATACCAACCAACTTTACTCATTACTCTACTATTGGCAGGGCACTCTGAGGTCAACTGAGCAGGGAGAAATGGTGCAGGCAAAGTTCGGTCTCCCAAACACAGCAGTCAGACAGCTAGAGATCTACACAACTGCAGTTCTGCTCGCAACTCTGCGGCCACCACTCCCACCTCGGGAACTAAAATGGCGAAGCCTGATGGAGGAGATATCAAAGGTGAGCTGCCAGAACTACAGGAGCACGGTGTACGAGAACCCGGAATTCATCACCTACTTCCAGGAGGCCACCCCACAGGCCGAGCTGGGTTACCTCAACATAGGCAGCCGTCCCACGCGCAGGAAGGCCTCGACCGGAATCGGCCATCTCCGCGCCATCCCTTGGGTGTTCGCGTGGACGCAGACCAGATTCGTCCTGCCCGCCTGGCTCGGTGTCGGTGCAGGACTCCAGTACGCTTGCGAGAAGGGACATACCGAGGACCTGAAGGCGATGTACCAAGAGTGGCCCTTCTTCCAATCCACGATCGATCTCATCGAGATGATCATAGGGAAGGCCGACGCCTCGATAGCGAAACACTACGACGAAGTGCTGGTTTCGGAGAGCAGGCAGAAGATTGGGGATGACCTGAGGAAGGAGCTGTCGTCGACGGAGAAGTACGTGTTGGTGGTGAGTGGGCACGATAAGCTGTCGGACAACAACAAGAGCTTGAGGCGGCTTATTGAAGGGAGGCTGCCGTATTTGAACCCGATGAACATGTTGCAGGTTGAGATTCTGAAGAGGCTGAGAAGGGACGATGATAACGTGAAGCTCAGAGATGCTTTGCTGATCACCATTAACGGGATTGCTGCTGGAATGAGGAACACTGGTTGAAGAAAGTAACGCTGTGGAAATTTTTGGTTGTCCGGACCGTTCTTTTTTTGGACGAATGCGTACTTTTCTCTGGGATCCTGAAGTTTTGTTGAGGTATATAACTATATATACGTTTACACAGTAACGCAGATCTGCTTTCTGTTATCTTTTCTTGGAGTGTTTTCTTTTATTAGAAGTGTCTAGGCGGTACGACCGAGTCTGAGAGTCCAGGAATGGGTCCTAAGGTGAAGGGAGGCTGGGAGGGTCTTCTTGCCAAAGTCAGACTAACGGCTGCCAATATCTTTGGGCCCTGGGCTGATCTTGTTCATTGGGCTCGTATTTTATGAACTGTTAAGCATATATGGGTTGTGCTGTTTCTTGTTGATTTTGAGGAGTTGCATCAAGTGGATCTATTTCTCTTTCTACTATTGATGGTGGTTGTAGGGATGGCAATAAAACCCGAACCCACGGGTACCCACCCGACCCAATCCGGTCAACGCGGGTAAAATCCGTGTTGACGGGTTTTGGGCCGGGTTTGGGTTTAAACCCGTTCACTATTCAACGGGTTGGGTTGGGTTTGGGTTTAGGTAAACCCGGCCCGTGGGTACCCGCCCACCCATATAATTAATTTTTTCGGTATATTTAATATTCTAAACAACTAATCTTATTTATGTTTGTGGAGACATGTCTAATTTTTTCTTTTTAATTGTGTAGAATGAAGTTGATGTTATGGAGTGAAGAGTAAAGAAACTTAATTGAAAGGAAGAAGCTTTCAATTAAACATGTTATTTATGGAAAATTTGTGATTTGCTTCATTTTTTTGAGTTTTCTAGATTGGTGTTGAACAATTTGTATAGTTAATTTGTGATTTGCTTGAATTTTCTAGAATGGTGTTTTACATATGGATAATTTGTATTGAGAGATTGATATTTGACTTTAATTTTGATAAGAACTTGTAATTGTAAATTTTTTACGACAAAATCCGTGGGTACCCATGAACCCGCGGGTACCCAACGGGTTGGGTTGGGTTTGAGTTTTTCAAACCCAGTGGGTTTTACCCCGGGTTTTTTTCAAAGATAAACCCATGGGTTTGGGTTTGGGTTTGGCAAAACCCGACCCAACCCGACCCATTGCCATCCCTAGGTGGTTGTGCTAATGTGCTATAGCCTTATAGGATTGTATATTGGAAAAATTACGTTGTATGTGATGGTGAGCTTTTGTATAAAAAATCCCAGGCCGTTTTGGAGAGAAATGAATGAAACTGTATGTTCATTCTCTTCAGAGATGGTCGCCTTCTAGGGGTGTTTAAACGGTTTAGTTACAATGGTAATCGTTTTAACTGGTATTATTTGGATAATTTGGTTTGGTTAATTTGGATAATTGGTTTGGTTTGGTTAAAGTTTTTAGCTTGTTTGGTTTGGTTTCAGACACTCCTAACCAGTCAAACCAAATTAACCAGTTAAGTAATTAGTCATATATCTAACATATATTATATACACATACTTAATACTTTGCATAACCACTCAAGAGTTAACGTTCATCCCCTTTACACTCATAAAATATAAAGCTCAATATTGCTCATATAGTGTATATTTGTATATGTAAAATGTAGACCACAAAATATGAACGCCTAATTTAGATAAATTTCATACATTATAATGAATGAAAACTTGAAAGGAAGGTCATTTCCAGCCTTTGATAATTGCTAAGAGACTAAGTCAATTTACACAAACACAACAATTCATTAATCCATACCATTATCATAAATTTTTGGTAGGTGAATACTTCTATACTAATCGTAAGATAATTGTCTTAGTTGCATGTATTTTTGTTAAGGGTCAACTATAACTACGTGTTGATTGTTATGTTTTATTCATTATATAAATTGCGAATTGTTGCATTAACCGGAAAATTTTCATCGTCAATGATAATGTGATTTTATATTGGTTAATCTGGTTAACCAATTAACCAAACCGATTAAACTTTAATTTGGTTAATTTGGTTGTTGTATTGGACGGTTTAGTTATGATATTGTATTCCATGGTTAATGGAATTTAGCCTTATTTGGTTTGGTTATAACTTATAACTATGGTAACCATTTGAACACCCTATCGCCTTGGACCTTTCTTGCTTTCATTCTGTTATGATAAAAACATAAAACGATTTGTATCGACTCCATCGAGGACAAAAATGAAGGTGGTCGGCGGCGGAGATCATTTGGAGTGCAGGGTTTGCGCCGGCGGAGGGTACTCAATTTAGTGACTCTCGTTGAAGAAGGATTCGGAATTGTAGGTGCATTGATTTGAGTTTGATTAATGAAGGATAATTTAGTAATTGTCTATTTTAAGTTAGGGCGATAATAGAAAATTTAGAGCGATATTTAGCCATTCAGAAAGTAAAGTGTGCCTTGGTTATTGAACGGGCCTCGGCCCACAAACAAAAAACCGTAGCAGTTGACGCAAAAGCCTCCCATCGCAGTAGGGGTGGCTATACGGTCCGGTCCGGTTAAATTGGACCAAATTGATCCGGTCCCAGTCCGGTCTTTTCGGGAATATAAGAACGAAAGATTGGATTGGATACAGTCCGGTCTTGATTCGGTCCGGTCTTGATCCGGTCCGGTCTTGACCCGGTCCGGTCCCAATTTGATCTTGATTTTAGGTGCTGGGTCTCTTATCCGGATTTTTTACCTCAAATCTAAGCCCGAATATGAGATTGCATTGTTTGCTATCCGATCCCAGTCCGGTCCCGGTCCAGATTATACGGTCCGATTTCGGGTAAACCCAAACAGTCCGGAACCAAATAGCCAGCCCTACATCGCAGTACCCTCACTGGTCGTCGACTCCTACCCAGCCGGCTTCCAACAATCGGTGTAGCGGCTCATTTCCCGATTTCCGATTCTTGCTTATGCATTCTCGATGTACCGCGCCGTTGTTACATTCCCAACAATTGTAACACGCGGTGGCTGAGGCGCTCCCGGTTATTCACGCCGGGCAAATATGTACCACGAATCCGCCATTATCTCTACCACGAATCCACCGAAGGAATCTCAACCACAACCTGGGACCGCCGCTCGCATCCATCCACGGCGCCGATCGTCTTCTTCATCCTACTCTACAAACTTAAGTGTTGTAATTTCTGGCACCGCTGCAATTTCCATATTGTCATTCATCTTGAAGACTTGAACTCTGTTTCTGAATTTCCGGTCTGCTCTTATTTGGGTCGTTCTTCATTTCGCCTATTCCTATCTCCTTATAAGCGGGCGGGTATTTCAGTATTTGGCATGGAAGAGCGTGAAGGTAAGGTGGAAGTCCAATTTATATTATGGAACTTTTGCTTATGATTTTGTTATTAAAAGTGGGAAAGCGGAGTAAAGATGCTATCTTGGTTGGGGAATTGTCAGTCCTTTTATGTTCTCATTGATCATGTAGATAGTGACGTGATGGATAAGAGTTCAACTGAATAGTGTTCAACAAGATATGTTGCTTCCATTATCTAAACAAAGAAGATTGGAGTTCAGCGATGGAAAATGGAATTGAGGATGTGTTTCAGCATTATTCAGCCTTCAGTCATTTGATATTCTTAATTTAAGATTACGCAGAGTGTTCAACCAGAGATTATCTACGGTATCCTTAAGTTAGATCCTGTTGTGAAAACCTTTAAAGGTTAGATGCGAAATCAGGACATGGTAATTTCTTATTGTTCCATTCTCTGTTGTAGGCTTATTCACCCTTAATTTGGTCGAATTTGATTGCAAATTGCATTATTATGAAGCTTCTGAATTAGGGTAGTGGACAACAACCTTGAACCTACCTATTTTGCAGATATTGCCTTTGCCCCATTAGGCCAGTGCTATTGAACCTGTAAGCTGTTTCACCTTGGATGCAGAAATATATTGTTCGAGTAGATACTCAATAGTTTCATGAAAGGGTGTGGAAACTACCCCAATTCAGAAGCTTCATAATAATGACTTGAAACCATTTGGCTATAAGTGGCTTTAGCTGATGGTGGGGGTTTTATTTAGCTCTTGGTAATTCTGGCTACATTATGACTTAAGCTGAACGATTATTAGTGGTGTTGTTTCTTTGTATCCCTTCAGTTTCTTTTGGTTTTGGATTAGTTTGCTTCTGTTCTTTTCATGGCCCCTGGCTTGACTTAAATTGTTTGATTTTTTTTGCAGCTGAGGGGTTTGGACTTGGAATGTGTTTAGGTATTGGCCAAGAAAACACATACGTGCGGTAATTATTTCCTTTGTTTCTTAATCAATAAAAATTATGTCACCATTATAAAAAAACACATACATGGGGTAAGACAAGATTATGTAGTGTTGCTGGGTTTTTTCATCCTTATAGATGGCCTAATGATGACTGGATTTTCCCTCTATTTTAATTTTTTCCCTTCTTTTTAACTATTTTCTTTTCCCCCGATGTAGTAGATCATTTTGGTATAAGTTCTTGTGTTCTTCTTTTCCATAGTTATTTGTGTGTTTTTCCTTCTTTTGGCTGAGCACAACATATGTGATATGTGTGTGGATTCAAAAATGAAGTTTTGTCAACTTGGTTAGATGTTTCTTTTTTTCGCTTGATTCCATGGAGGAACAAAAAAGCATTTCCAACATAAATTAACAAGATAACTTTCTACCATTTTCTTGACTTTTCATTTCAATCGTTAGGTTTCCTTTGTATATATATATATATCTTCTTGGTGCATCTGTGATTCATTCCCTCTATAATTATACTGTGTAGGCTTCATTTTCGTAGTGCTTTGGAAGTTACAGGTTACAAGAGATAGTTTGTTGAACTTTTGGAATCTGGCTTTGTGAGTGTCAGATCATTGGAGTTGGTGGGTATTGGTCAATTTTGAGACCTTTCCCTGAATTCAGCTTTGAAGATCTTTGAAACCCGTGATAAGTGTTACTATATTGGTGCGTTTTGAAGCTTTATTTGCTTCACTCTATATGAATGTGAAGAAGAGAATGGTGGAGCAGCGTATCTTTTAGCAATTGAGGATGAGCCAGGTAAATTTAACTTTCAAGGAAGGTTGAACATTAGAACTTACATTATCTCTAAAAATCAGTACTTAATTGAATCTATGCCAAGGCATGGGGTTGTTCCAGTTTGGGATACCCAACTTATAACTCTACTGCGTCTAACTTAGCTATTGTTTGCACATTTATTTATGATGTTAATATAATCTGTTTTGCTTGCTAAAATGAGTTTGAATGTAGCGTGATTTTTGAGATACTTTCAATCTTTAACCCCTTGCATTCCGATGCACTGATATAGGTTGAAGATGCAGAAAGTTGAATTAATTTGATAGAAGATATGGACTCGATATACTCTGCACTTCTTGAAGAGGGTGGGATCACAGCTTCCAGCCATCGCTGCCATATTCAATTGTTAAAGGAATCGCCAAGCTTGATGCTTCATGCGCAGTCGGTAGGTGGATTCTCCGGGTCCCTTCTTCAACACCATGCACTGTAATTTCTGGTGCCGCATTGTATTGGTTTTTTTCACAACTTTGATGCATTTTCAGTATTCTTTCTAGCGATCACACTCCTCAGAACACACTCTTTGGTTTGTTGTTTGTATTAGCTCTATTTCAATTTGCTACTGGTCACAACAACAAGGTTCATTGCAAGCTTCTCTATCCGCAACTCAGCTCTCCTGCTCTGATACAGACAACTTTTTTGAATCTAATAAGCTAGGGAAGTGTGACTTGGCCCTGTCTTTTATTTCTCTCATCTATATACAAGAACTTATGTATTACCGTTTCAGTATGAGTGTACTTATCGTTTTCTTTTGACATTGAGCAATCGTGTATGACATTTTTCATGTTCCATCTCCAAAAAATTTCATCATTGATTGAACAGCAGAGTCGGGTGGCCAAGAGTGCCACAACATTGACCACCTCCACAGCATCTGTCAATCGAAAGTCAACTCTCAAGGATATTAAACTTCATTCCGTCCAGGACCTTTATGTTAATGATAAACTTCCATGGCTTATCAATTAAAAATGTATCAGGGGAGTTTGATCCACCCTTTCCTTTTTGTTTTCAACTTCATGATTTGTGTTGTGTTCTGTGTTTGTTAGCATCTACCCTCTCTATGCAATCTATATCTAGAACAGAGTGCTGCAAGCTATTTAGTGGCAGTGGAGGTTTTTAGGGTATAAGATTAGATAATGGTGTTGATCTTTCAATATTTTCAGCCGAGTCTAATGCAATTTCATTCCATGTTTCAACTTGCAAAACATACAGCAAAACATTGAGAGGAGTGAATAGATAGTGAATGTGATAACAGTGTGCATGACATACCTGCATTCGGTTTTCACTACATTCAAGCCACC